AGGGAGAGAGAGTGAGAGAGAGAGAGAGATAGAGAGACAATTGTTTCTATTCAGATTTGGATGTGGATTAACAATTATTATTTGAATAAAATGCATATTAGTCCATTAGACTAGGGGTATGTCTCTGTGTGTGTGTGTGTCTCCCTCTGTCTGTGTCGTCAGTGAAATTGTAGAATCTAATTAAGAGACAAGTGCACCTTATCTGATTGCCGTGTTGCGCATGAAATACACCTATATGGTCACAGTTAGGCCGGCCGTTCTCACTCACTCACTCTCTCCAGAAGCGTCGCACTGCTCGCACTCACTCTCTCCGCAATGCTCGTATGCGCCTTTCAGGTGCCGACCGGCCTATAAATACTTACTCCGTATGGCATTCGGTATTCATTGCGCTCGGAACTGTCGCTCAGCATGGGAACTCCGAACCTTAATCTCTCAGCCTGCCTGCTGCAGCTGCTGCTGTTCGCCGCATTGGGCCAGGGCATCGAATGGACGGTGCCCGATGTTGTGGGCTCGCTGCGGAATGTTGGCTCCTCCATCATCGACACGAAGACGTTGCCCACGCCGCAGGGCCTGCTCGAGGGTAGCAAGAATCTGATCGCCGGCTATCCCTTCGAATACGTCTCCTCCTCCATCAACTTTCTATGTGAGCAACCAAACACAATAACAACTCCAATCAAACTGACGCATTTCGTGTCTCATTCCTTGCACAGGCTCCCAAGCGCTGAGCTCTAATAAGATCAAGTCCAAGTACACGCCGGACATCAACCAAATGAAATTCCAGCTGCGCACCGCCTGCAACAAGACGAGCTTTCCACTTCTCGAAGCCGACTCCATATGGCGCAGTCCCGACTTTGATCCCAAGAAGGGCGTTGTCATTCTGGCTACCGGCTGGACCACCAGCATCAATGATACGGACGACACCATCGATAAATTTGCCCAGGCCTACAACTGTCGCGGCGATGTTAACTTTGTGGTGAGTCCCGACCTGCACATACTCTGCTTGTGACTTACCTCACCTTACGTCTGAATGCCGACCGAATGAAGACAAATTGCAAATCACATTTGAAAGCGCATATACCCGCCGTCTGTTTGAAAACGAGATATTGCATTTGAACTTGAAACAGGCAGTTTTATAAACCCAAAGTAAAATGTATTAACTTAGGTCTATGAAAATGTCATTCAATTCCCATTTAATCACCTTAGCTGCATCTGTTGCAAGTTTCGGTTCTTATCAATAATTTAGGAAGGCTGAGCTCTGAATGCCAAATGAAAGTTATGACGCGTTAGTCGATAGCCTTTGAATTTGAGAAGCTAGAGAAGTTCACAAAAGTGATTAGCCAGCTGATACCCTGTATGTAATCTCTATGGAGAATACGATAAAAATATGGGTAAATAGAAAGAGAGACGATAAAATGGTGCTATATATTATATATACCATATTTGAATTCATGTCTATCTGTTTTTAAGATCAAAAGAGACTGGCCAATGTCTCTCTCAAAGTCTATTTAGACCATTTCGGACTTTGCTCTATCTTTAGTTTTAACAATCTTTTTATTCATCTCTCTACGAATCCAGCTATCCCCATATTCATTTAGTCATCTATCAGTCTATCGATGTGTTCATCTATCCACTTAGCCATTTATTTATTTATTTGTCTAACCATTCCATGTATCCATCTATTCATTTAGACATCTATCCATAATCCAACTCTTCATTCATCCATCTAACCAATTAGTCATATGTCCAGCTATCCATCTAGGTATCTCTATTAAGGTCCATATATCTCTTAACCTTTCTGCTTATTCCTCTATTCATTATATACACTTATCTATCAGCCTATCTAAATCCATTATCCATCTTGCAGGCTGTGGATGTTGCCAAATTCATAGATACCCTGTACACTTGGTCCGCTTTCAATACAGACGAGATTGGCGAGAACATTGCTCGGGGCCTGGTCAAGCTGCTGGACGTGGTCAGTGTGGAAAAAATTCATCTGATTGGCCATAGTCTGGGCGCGCACATTGTGGGCTCGGCGGGCCGCTATCTGCAGCAGATGACTGGCAAAACGTTGACGCGCATCACCGGACTGGATCCGGCCAAGCCGTGCTTCAATGAGGGCGAAGTTCTGTCGGGCCTGCAGCGTGGCGACGCGAAGTTCATTGATGTCATCCATAGTAATCCGGGCGTGCTGGGCAAACGGGATCCCATGGGCGATGTGGACTTCTATCCGGGCGGTCTGGATCCTCTGCCCGTCGGCTGCATATCGGTGACCTGTGCCCATGCCCGTGCCTGGGAGTATTACGAGGAGTCCGTTTATCCGGGCAACGAGCGCAACTTCCTGGCCACACGCTGCAGCTCGCTGAGGAGGCTGCGCGATGATCTCTGCACGGGCGAACAGTATCCCATGGGCTATGCTGTGCCCCACAACATCAAGGGCAACTACTTCCTGGAGGTCAACAGCATCAAGCCCTATGGCAAGCAATCATCGGGCACTCGTTCAGCCCGACTCGCCAAGTGCGGTGTTTGTGAAAAGTAAAGGCGGCACTTGGTGATGAGATCCCAACCTAAATCGATACCTGATACCCGTTCCACTTGCGGTTGCCTCTGAATTGGAGAATTCTGAATTGATGTAATATGTGAATTCGGAGCTGCATTCGAAAGGAAACTTACCAGCTAATATAGGCTTAAGAAATCTTATGAAATCCGATAGCAATTCCGTGACTGCGATAAGCCGATAATATTGCAGTTTCGAAAATTATTATTCGCTATAAAGTTTTTTTTTTCTTATAGTATTTAATTTCTTCTACATATAAGCTGTTTTTTTTTTGGTCAGATATTTGCTTGGCCTGAACTATGGGCCCCCAAATACAATTTGCATGTTAAGCGTTGACAATTCAATTAATTTTTGTTTATAATGCCTATGCTAAAAAAAATAAAACTTCACAAGTAGCAAAAACAATTCTCTAACATCTATGAAATAGAGGCCGCCACACACACACACACAAACCTACATACAGATTGTAACGATCGTCTAGGCGCCAAAGTACAGTGAGTCTCAAAAGTTGCGATCGGCTACGGCAACTGCAGCGCATCGAATGGGCGAGGTCAACTGGAATGCGTTAAGAGAATGTTGAAATGCGATTAACGACAGTCAAGGAATACATCCTGTTCATTGACGACACCTCGAAAATGAGTGCAAACAAGTAATTTACACTGACATCAAGAAAAAATGTTATTTAAAATTGAAATTTAGCTCATTATACATTAAAGTTATAGAAAACTAAATGAACACTAATGAAAATTAATAGAAATGAAATTAAAAATTAAATAAAAATTAATAGAAATAAATAAAAAGAATGTTTAAAAAAAATAAAATAAAAAAAAAACATGAAATGAAACTTGGCAAGCCTTAAATATAATTTTAAAAACTATTGCTATTGCTGGATTTTCTCATTTAAATTATAAATTATTAAATTATTATTATATTATTATTATTATAAATTAAATTATAAATTATTTATATAATAACTTCATTTTGTTTTTATTGTTAAAGCGTTTTTTTTTTTTATTTATAGAATATTTTTATTTATAGAATATTCAATTTGCATATTTTTATATTTATTGCTAATTACCTGTTTACAGCAGAGTGATTATATTATTAATAAAATTTCTTAGCAAAAATTATGAACACTACATCTTAAATTATTTATGTATATGAAAAAAAAATTTTTTTTCAAATATATCAAAGAAAATTAAATTTAAATAATACAAACACAAAAAATTGGTACTAAAATAAAAATAAAATAATTTCAAATATGCATTTTGCTTTTATGAACTTCGGAGACAGAAATATATTATAGACTATAAAATTATGAAATAAAAATAACATAATTTGGAAAATGTAAATAAAAAAATAAAATAACTGAGTAAATTTTCAAGTGACCTTGAATATAAACCTGAAAATGAGCCGAAGGCCTGGTCGCTAGCGCTCTTATTATATACTTAGCTTTAATATTCTTGTGTGTTATAGCTAACTTTGTAAAAATTAAAAAAAAAAAACCTGAAAATTCAATAAAATACGTATTAAATTAAAAAAAAAAAAGATAATAATTGTAAAAATAATTTTTAAAAATATTCATTTATACAAATATTAAAAATTAAAAGAAAAATCTCACTAAAAATATTTTGCTTTTTAATTCTTAGCAATTGATTGCATAAGAAAATATAAAAATTAAATAATAATAAGAAATAAATCTCTTACCATCTTTGGATTAGTTGTTACTGAAACTCGTTAGAGTTCTCTGCTCTGGTTCGTTGTCAACTGGTGGCTACTGTGGTGCCAGCCGCAGCGTTGCTGCGGTGCTGTGGCTTGCAGTTGGCGTGCCCCTTCACCTGACTGAGCTGGCAACATGACAAATGAGTCACCCGTCGCGAGCTTCTGTGGGCATGTTGGAGATTAGAGTTAACCGTGCCAAGCAGCCGTCAACTGCGCTCGTTGTTTCCGCCAGCTGACTGAAGTCGGCAGTAAGAAGCCAACAGCGTGGCGAGGAAATGATCCATCAACCGTGTGAGTTATGCGCAATTCGGCAACAAGAACTGGCCCCCATGGGGCGAGGAAGGGGGGGGCAGATGGGGTATGGGATGAGCTGCTGCTGCTGCTGCTGCAGATGCTATTGCCAATGAGACTGTCGTAAAGTGCTGTAAAGTAGTTGACCCTGGTCAAGAATCGGACGCTCAAAGTGGTTTAATAAACTGCAATTACCTCCCGCTCGCTGCTCTCACTCTATGTGCGCAGCTGGTTTAAGACCGCACCACAGCAACCCCCACCAGCAAAGCGGTGCGATTTATTTTGTGGATTCTTGACTTGATGAGTCGTTCAGCCAGTCAGCCAGTCAGCCAGTGAGCCAGTCAGCCGGTCAGCTGGACGGCCGCTCCCCTACATATGATGGACGGCCGCTGTGGCTATGCAAATTTAGATAAATAGCGTATGCTGCGTGTGTTTTCAGATCATTCAATTGCCGCACTTCAAAACTCACACCCACAACGCAGACAGCCAGGATTAAGCTAAAAGCTACCTAAAGATCAGGCAAAATGAAATTGTTCATAGTACTCAGCGCTTTGATTGCCTGCAGCTCGGCTGGACTCATTCGCAGCAGCGGCTGGTCAGGTGGCCGAAGCGGCTGGAGCTCGAATCCTTGGGCCAGCGGCGGCATCAGCACGGGCGGCTGGAGCTCGAATCCTTGGAGCAGCGGCATCGTTAGCAGCGGCGGCTGGAGCTCGAATCCTTGGGGCAGCGGCGGTGGCTGGAACAGCGGCTGGTCTTCTCAGCCCAAGATCATCAAGGTCATCAAAACTGGCGGCGGCGGCGGCTGGGGCAACGGCTGGGGCAACGGCGGTGGCTGGAGCAACGGTGGTGGCTGGAGCAACGGTGGTGGCTGGTCGAGCCCGAGCATCGTCAGCAGCGGCTGGTCCAGCGGCAACAGCGGATGGGGCAGCAGCGGCTGGTAGTGAGGATCGCAGCCAAAGGCTCTGCCAAAGGCTCCACCGCGCGCTGACTCGAATTGATTACTGATTTTTGCTTTCATATTACGTATATGCATAAGGGAGTTTATAATTTTTTTCTACTTTTTTTTTTATACCAACAAACCTATTTTTTTTTTTTGTAAACAAATATAAACTTTAAATTGTAAATTGTAAAATAAGCAAGAAATTGCCAGATTTTTATTCGAATGCTGGCAAATGATTGACGAGCGACTGCACCAGACACGTTTCGGCTTGTCATATTTCATTTCACAGTCGAGAGCAATTAAAAAAAATAGTATTGAGCACAGATATTAACATAGCTGCAACATCTTCAAGTTCAGAAACCCGCCGCCCGCTGCCCACGTCTGCCTGGGAACCAGATCGAGAATTGCCACTGTGGGGCCCAGCAGTGAGAGGCTGTGTGCTGTGTGCTCGTTGATCTCGAAATTCACATAAATGCATTTTTGAATTATGGTCCATAACAATTAAAATGCTAACCCAACGTCGTAATTATTTCTATTACTTTGCGCATTCTCAGTGCTCGTGGAGCATTCAGTGCTCATCACTCATTGAGTTGCACACTGACACGAAATGCAGCAGCTGGTTGATTTATCAATTGAAAATACATTTAGAAATAGAGATTTTCTGGACTAAAAGTCTCTCTTAGCAATAGCTATCTTTGTCTCTCTCTCTCTCTCTCACACACACACACGGAGCAAGAGGAAACCATAAACATGATAACATCTCTCGCATAACAGCTCTGTAAAAACTCAGCTGTACACTAATACTACTGCAACAGCAAGAAGCATTCTTGATAAAGTGGAACAGAATTAGGAAACTTGGAAATGTTCATTTCATAATACTCCAGAATATCAAATATTCAATATATACAGAGCTGTCCATATTCGACGGACCCATTTGGCAACCCCATATCGCTTGTCAGAGACGGGAATACTACGCCGTACAGGCTCAAGGCGGCCATTTGAGGTACAGTCGAGTGTCGATCATTTTTACCCCGCTGTATCAAAAATCGCGATAAATAGAAAAAGCTATATTTTCTTCAAAAAAGTTCTTTCTTGATAATTCTCGATAATTTGAATTTCTGTGTAAATCGAAAAATAAATAATAAATCTGTTTGTTCCAAATATAATAATGGGTACCGCCAAACAAAAATATAGTGTTCTTCTTTGACTAAAAAAAAAAAAAAAAAGAAACACGAGTCCATGCCAGAAAACTCTGATTTCCAAGATTCCTCATTCCGTTCCATTTTGTCATGAATGCTTCATACAATATGACTACTGATAAAAAATGACTAAAAATATGACTTTTAGTCCACTGTGCTGCAGATGCGAAACATATTTGCTGCTCCGGTGGTTGAGGTCGGCTTTTGGACTTGGCTGTGAGGTTATTTGTGGCTTTGAGCCATGTTTGGCTGCCGCACGCGTTGAATGCGTTGAATGCAACACAGTCGGTGGACAAGTAGCGGCAATATATTAGTTGAGTAATTCTCTTGAGCAGGCAGCTCATTTGTTAGGCCTTTGCGTTTGCATGTGTGTGTGTGTGTGTGTGTGCAATTGACATTGAACTCGTCGCATGCGAATGTGGTTGAGTCGTGCACCACACACACACACACACACACACACACACACACACACACACACACAGACATTTGTCTAGCACTCGCCTCGCATGCGAATACCGACAAATCCAAGTAGAAAATACAGAAAAACAGCAAAAACTAAAATCAAATTAATTATGCAGAAATATCTGAAAAATATGAAAAATTACAGAATTTAAATTGTAAATTGTAAAACAAATTGTGTGGCTGCACAAACGCTTGTAATTAATGACATCGCTATGGCTCAGCAGTTTAGAAGTGGTTGCCCGTGCGGCTCTGTGCGGCGCATGCTCCGAGTACTCCCAGCATAAACGTTGCGTATGCGCCGCGTGTGCCGCGCTCTTGACAGCGAGTGCAGTGCGCGGGCTTCGACAGCCACTTGAGTGTGCAGTTCTCAGCCTTCCGAGTAGCCTTTGGGTGCGTCGCTCCACCACACACTCACACTCCCACACACACACACACACACACACACGCACAGACACACACACACACACACACACACAGACAGATCGCATCTCACATTGCCTTAGTTTTATGCCCAATCAGTGTTTGGGAGCAGCATGACTCAGCGGGAGTTTGATTTATTCCGTGCACCTTTGACGGCTATAAAAGCGCAGCGCTGGGCCCGATAATGGCATCAGTGAAGCTAAGGTTCTAACAGCGCCAACAGCAACAAAACAGTTCCAAAACAGTTCCAAAACAGTTCATCTATCGAAGGATTCTGCAGCTCAACATGCGCTACGCTCTGCTCGTCGTATTCCTGTGTGCTCTCATGTTCGCCATCGCCTCGGCTGGTTTGCTGGGTGGCGGCGGCGGCGGTGGTGGCTACGGTGGCGGCGGTGGACACGGCGGTGGTGGCGGCGGCGGCGGTAAAGGCGGCTGGCAGAAGAATGGCGGAGGCGGCGGCGGCGGTGGCTGGCAAAAGAGCGGAGGAGGCGGCGGCGGTCAGGGTGGATACGGCGGTGGTGGCGGCGGCAAGTCCCTGGCCGGCAATCGGGGCAGCTCGGTGTCCTGGCAAGGTGGTAACGGAGGCGGTGGCAAACACGGCGGAGGCGGCGGTGGTGGCGGCTATGGAGGCAGTGGCAAGCACGGCGGTGGTGGTGGAGGTGGTGGCAAGCACGGCGGTGGTGGCTGGTAAACCACACTCCAAAGCCACAGCAACGAGAACTCCAAGACGAAACGAAATGTAAATACTCCGGCTGCTCCCTAGGCTGACATGTGTTCTACGGCATCTAGACATAGAGCTAGAGGCAATTCCCACAAGTGCTATGACTAACGTTTTTTTTTTTTTTTGCTACCTACCTAGTTGTACCCAAAGTTTCTCAACCCTCTCCCATACTTTATGTTTATATGTACTAATAAAGAAATGTTCATTTTGCTAAAATCTATGTGTATTTAAGTGCCTATTCATGATATCAGATTATTTTTGAAGATTTCCTAGCTGGGCATGGATAGAAAATATAGCACTATGGGCATCGAAAGCTTAGATGGTGTAGTATATGCCCTAAAGGCCAGCAGGTCTTTGTTTTGGATTAGTTGATAAACTGGACCAGATTGATCAGCATCAGCTCATAATGAATCCAATATGCAGTACTCCAAAGCCTCTATAAAATAGATTAAAAAAAAAAAAACAACTATTGAACAGCTGGAATTAGCTAATTTCCTTTCTTAGATGATGATGATATGTTCTAAAGGCAGGAAAATTTTTATTTTCGCTCATTCTAACATATGAGACCTACTACAATAGCTGAATATTATCATAAAACATTCTCGTTCTGTAGAAGTTATCCATAAGCAATTGGAATTAATGTATGGATTATCTTAATATGAGCTGATCATCTGAAGGCTGCCAAAATGTTTAGCTGTCTCCTACTTTCATATTACTTAAAATCATAAATAGAGCTCAAATAGCCTATATTAAGTCTTGGCTAGCCCACTTAGTTTATAGCCCCCTGTTGGCCAAGGTAGTAAGTAGACATATTGGACAACTGTTGGCACTTTTTCAGTTGAGGGTACACACGAGTCTATATTGTAAATTTCAAGTCTCAAGTTTCAGCAGTTTCAAAATAGTTTGAAATGATTTGAATAGCAATATACGCATTTCCCTTCCCTCGATTGAGGAAAGGATGCAGCCGATATGAATATAAAATGCATGATAACTTTTCATGTGGAAATAGCTCTCATGTGGGGTATACACGACTTGAACTTTATTTGCATAAATAAATTCGAGTTTGATTTTCCTTGAACTTGCTCTCTCTCCCTCTCTCTCTCTCTCTTTTTCGCGCTCTCTATCTTATTTCTCTCTTTCTTTCTCTCTCCCCCTTTTTTTTTTCTCCCTGTCTTCTCCAACTCTTAACTTCCAATTCATTATTTGATGTTGCCTTCACTTGGCTTTTCCCGTAAATGTTCACATTTTTTAGATTATCATATATATTTATTGAGATATAAAAAATAAAAAAAAAAGTTGCTAGATAAAGCAGTAGAGATTGTTTTTTTTATGTACAGTTGTAGATTCTTTTTAGTGTCGCCTCAGTGATTTGTTATGGACGGATTTCTACCAGCTCCAGCCGCCGCTTGAACCGCCGGAGGACCAGCCACTGCCACCGCCACCGCCGCTCTTCCAGCCACCACCGCCTCCGCCGCTTTTCCAGCCACCGCCGCCGCCTCCACCAGACTTCCAGCCGCCACCACCACCGCCGCCAGACTTCCAGCCGCTGCTGAGACCAGACAACGCTTGAGATTTCCAGCCAGAGAGGCTAGACAAGGCGCTAGACCAACCAGCGCCCAAGCCGCCGCCGCCGCCGCCGGAGCTCAGCTTCCAGCCACCACCGCCGCCGCCTCCACCGCTCTTCCAGCCACCGCCGCCTCCGCCAGAGGACCAACCGCTGCTACCACCACCGCCGCTGGACGGCCAGGCACTGATGCTTATCTTGCTGGGCCAGCCAGAGGAGCCGCCACCGGATGACCAGCCAGAGGAGCCACCGCCGCTTTTCCAGCCACCGCCGCCGCCTCCACTAGGCCAGCCACCGCCTCCACCACCACCCGACGACCAGCCAGAGGAGCCACCGCCGCTCTTCCAGCCACCGCCGCCGCCACCACTAGGCCAGCCACTGCCGCCGCCACCACCCGATGACCAGCCGCTGCCACCGCCGCCTCCACTGCTCCAGCCATGTGGCTTAGCAAAGGCGCAGACGCTCAGTACGGCCAAGAGGCCGACAAGAACCAAGCGACGTATTGACTGCATCTATGCGAGAGATGTTGTTGTTGCTGTCTATTGTTGTTGCTGCTGTCCGATGTTGCTGTTGCTGTTGCTGTTGCTGCTGATGTTGCTGCTGTGCACTAACTAATTTACAACTGGGCGCACTCACGGCTATTTATACAGCCAGCCGAGTGCAGCGCATCTAAGATTCTAACCGCCAGCAGCAGTGCAGATGCTGTTGCTGTTGTTGCCGTCGCCTCGTCAACGCCGCTGCAGCTGTTGCTATTCTTGCTGTTGCTGCTGCTGCTGTTGTTGTTGTCGACAGCGACGTCGCTGCAGTGTAATCAGCTGTAATTGCCAAATCTGGCGCTCGCTCCGTTCTTGGAGCTCTGTGCAGTCGGCCCTCATTATGCCAACTTTCAATTTCGTACACTTTGCGGCCATCTATTGTTGCTGGCAGCGCCCCGCCCCAAACCTTCCACCTGACGCAGCCCAGACTCTAGATTCTGGCCAGGCCAGCGCTGACAAATAGCCAGCCAGCATCGATTTATTGGCGCGCCATTTTTATGTAACAACTCTTTGGGGGCAAATCGATTGACAGACGGCCCATTCTTTGTGGCTGCCATTAACCGAGCACAGCTGAGCTCTCTAGCTCTCATAATCAATGAGCCAGCCGCTGGCTGCACACGTGCTGCTGCTGCTGCTGCTGCTGCTACTGTTCTCTGCTGCTGCTGTTGCCACACAGTTTGCAACAGTTTCGTGTCAGACTGTAAAATCGGGTCAACGGCACAGCGATCAATCACTCAGGCCATCAATATTAAGTGCTATGAATTATACAATGAATTTGCCAGGGCAAAGATAACGAAATTTGAATATTTTCTTAGTCAGCTTTAAGATTTCTGTATTTTGAAGTTGAGTGACAGGTTAGCTCCATTTAATTGCAAAAATATTTGTAAAATAATATAATAATAATAAATAAATAATAAAAAATACATAATAAACAAATAATAAATAATAAATAATAAATAATAAATAAGAAAAAATAAATAATAAATAATAAATAATAAATAATAAATAATAAATAATAAATAATAAATAATAAATAATAAATAATAAATAATAAATAATAAATAATAAATAATAAATAATAAATAATAAATAATAAATAATAAATAATAAATAATAAATAATAAACATAAACAAGAAATCTAAATAAAATTAAAATAAAATACAAATTTTAAGCTGACTATGAAAATTTTCAAATTTCAGCTGAGTTGGTCTGTGAAATAGGTAAAATAGATAAGTTGCTGCCGAGTGGACATAGTCAGAGTCTAATTCACATTTCTACAGGGTATACTCTCGGCGCATACCTAATGGACAACTCTGCCAACTGATGGTAAAGATTGTTAACTGACGCTGCTGCTGCTGCTGCTGCTGCTGCTGCTGCTGCTGCTGCGACTGCGACTGCCCCCAGTTGATCAGATGAATACAAATGCAAAGCCGAAGCTGAACCTGTTGACTCTTTGTCCGTGTTTGTCGTTGCTTTGCGGTAGGAGATTTGTGAATTTTCATGGGCGGCATTAAATCAAAATCGGTGCTTTGTGCCATCGATTTCGTTGCCAATTTAGCCGATCTATCAATGGCCGGCAATCAATCAATTGCCTCGAACTGCGAATTCCGTAACAAAGCGTTTAACTGTCGACCGATTGCAGCAGCAACGGAGCCCAACTGGGCTAAATGGCTGAATTGTCTGCGCTTTTGGGCCAATTGACGGCTGACTATAAATGTCGCATTAGTGGCCCCCTCAATTGCAATTGATGCCAATCAAGTGTGGGCAATTCAGTCAAGACGGCCTCTACCCGTCAGCCGGCAGCCGGCAGTTGCCTCTGCCATGAGCTCACCTTTTTGGACAATGGGTCAATCAGGAAGCCGTTCCCAACCAGTTTTAGGCGGCGATGCCTCATTAAAAAGCCGTCAATATCAATTCATATTTCTCTGTTTGTATTCAGCTTAAGATTAGCAACAAAAGTTTGTAATTTTTAACATATAAAATCATTTAATAAACAAAAAAAAAAAAAAAAAAAAATTTGGAACTTAGAAATAATTGGAAAACATTGCAGATGCTAGCCAAACTCCCTGTTTGAACTTGAGCCTGAGGCCGTTTACCAGCCCTTGTTCCAGCCTGAACCACCGGAGGAGCGAGCGTAGCTGCCCGAGTAGCCACCATAGCCACCGCCGCTGGAGTAGCCGCCATGACCGCCGCTCTGTGCCTGGTTGATCACCTCCAGGACGATGACCTTGGATGGAGCTGAGTAGGAGCGGGATGGGCCAGCTGAGTAGGCGCGGGATGGGCCCGCAGAGTAACCGCCGGAACGTGCGCCAGAGTAGCCACCACCAACAGCGCCGCCGCCGCCACCAAGCTTGCTGGCGAGTCCACCGCCAAGTCCACCACCAAGTCCACCGCCAAGTCCTCCGCTCTGACCACCGCCAAGACCGCCGCCTAGACCGCCGCCAAGACTGCCCAGTTTGCTCTGCAGCAGCTGGACAATGCCGCCAGCACCACCAGCGCCATTGATGTTGCCGCCGCCGCCACCGCCGCCGCCGCCGCCAAGGAGACTATCGAACGTGGCCTGGCTGCCGGCCAGCAGGGCAACAAGGATAACAAAGATGCATGCGAACGGTTTCATTTTGCTCTAAGCTCGGATCTCGAAGACGATCTGAATTTCGATTTGGATATGGTGCTCAAGACAAACAGAAGCGTTGACTACTTCTACAGCCATGATGCCCACACGCATTTATACCAAAAAACGTGCACGGAATCAATACTCCAAACCAAAATACGAGTATCGCAAAGCATGAATAAATCAATAGCACGCTTTTCAATGCCCAGCATCAGCAATAGATTCAACCTCACAGGGTGTAGATAGAGCAAGTGCCGATGCGTAGAGATGGGCGCGTGAGAGCAGCAGAGACACGAGCACGACAATCGAGCGCACAAACTGATCAAACAGAGATGAACTCTTAAGATTTGGTTATAGGTTTCTCATTCCAGTTAATGAGGCTGAAGCTGATGCTGTTGTTGTTGCTGCAGTTGAACTCACGAATGCTCGTGCCACGAGCTTGACTTCAGCAATTAGTTGCCTTTGATCGTTTAAGCAATTAAAAGAATTAATAACCCACATTTATGTCTGTATGTGTGCGACGATGCTGAAGATATATTGAGCAGCTGCCGACGGGCCTTTGTTTGCCGATTGTCTCCGATAACTATGCAAATCTTTACGCATGCGCGACTTGGACTTGGTCATTGTGAATACCCTGGAATCAGCGAATAAGCGCTGGGTATGCTTTATTATGTGCATGCTTTAAGGGCAATCAAAGTCGAGCAGAAAAATGAATTTTGATTTAAAATATGTATAAATGTTTAATATTAAATAATTGCATATTTTATTAAACAAATCGCAGCTTAAGCTAACTTTACAAAGAGAACAAATACAAACAAAGATTTCTCTATATAATAAGTATTTCTAATAAATAAGAGGAGTAGTCTAGATGACATACACTCTTGCCAGAGAGTATATATCGGTCATTAATCAATTCCTCGCATGTTCGTTATATGCTCAAATATTAGTTAGCATCGAGCTTGGGCCACAAATCAAACAAATTAACGCCGTTTGATCGCATGAGGACGGTAAGACCTAAAACAGAGTATCAACAAGCAACGGACAGTTTGTCAAGCTGAGCTGAGAGCTTGCACAATTGATAAATGATATTTTGACAGGCCACTCAAGCACTAGACTTCAGCTCTTCAGCTCTTCAGCTTGTCAGCTCTTTGGCTCTGCGGCTCGGCCGTTGTTCTGCTCATTTGCAAATCAAGGTCTGCCAGCGGGCATATAGAAGCTGGCGAAACGACAAAACTGTAACGCTAGATCAAGTAATCAGGAAGCGAGTAGCTACAGTTAGTATCGGCCTAGGCTTGACCCACTGTCAGAACGTTCCCATCAGCATCATCGTTTAAAAATAGGCGCAATCCAGAACCGGTTCTTGGACAAGCTCATGCTCCACGTTTAGGCGCTGTCAATGTTTTGGCACATATTTGCATAGTCAATTGACTTGTCAGTGTATATGCATAGATATAGACACATACATATATATGTATATATATATATAATATATACATACATATCGAGGCCTATGTACTTTGCTTATAGAGACCGACAGCTTGCCAAGTTCAATGCACTTTCAAGCTTACAGAATATTTATGATAAGCTACGCTTCTATGGGGGGTGTTTAATACAACAACAACAACTAGCTATATTTAATAATTCTATAAATATGTATACATATATTTTTAGAGATATATATATATAAATGCTGCGTGTCTGCTGTAACAATTGATTCATTAGCCATATCGATTAAGGAAATCTTCAGTTCGCATTTGATATATGCCAATTAGGCGACTCTTAAGGTCAGCTATAGAATAATTCCTTATTTCCTATGATTGATATGTTTTTTTCCTTTTTGCTCAAATATTACAATAACAAAAAGACTAAATATTATTCATCAAACTTTTTTTTTTTTTTTTTTGTCTTTAGCTTAGCTTAATTTATTCACATTCAAATTGTGAAAAAAAAAATACTAATAATAAAGTTAATTATGTGTAGAAAGAGTAATACAATAACGGAACTTCTTCTATTAACAGCTATACGATATATGTATTCCTATAAAATAAATAAAAATATAATAGCACTTATATGATAATTTCCAGCTAATTTAAGGCTATACGAAGCATCCGCAATGGACTGATAACTCGAGTTTTATGAGCACTAAAACTATATATATTCCTTATAGTATTAATTAAAGTTGTTAAAGTGAATTGCAAATGATTTATAAAATGTGATTATAGCTAAGTACAAAAAAAAAAAAGCTATGATGTTTATTATTTTGCGTTGCACAACATCTTGGCTAAAACTGAAACAAATCTCGCTTGCCTTACGATCTGTATCTAAGGTCACATTATATATTCACACATCTGTATATAGTATATACTTTATTTTTCTTTCGATGCTTAGTTGTTTCGCCTTGTATTCAGCAATATTCTTAACCTGTTTTTCGTTTGTTTTTTTTTTTTTTTTTTTTTTTTTTTTTTGGGGCCTCACGGGTCAAAAATTAAGAGAAAAAAAGTCATGTGCCTTTGTTATTTCAGCACGTTCATTAGATCGACCTACAGATGGAGATAGATTCGTTCGGCTGGCGCGTAACACGTTTCGTTACAATGGAACTACACTTCCATTACAGCCGCAGCCGCTACAGATATCGTAAAAAGTAGTTCCCATCGCATCGCCTTCAATTCGAAGGCTTTCATCAAATTATCATATTTAATTATGCACTAACTCGTATAACATTACTGGCCAAATGCACAAATGCATAAAAGTGAATGCAAACTTGCAGTTTATGAAGTCATCTTCTCATCTTTTCATCTTTTGTTTTTGTTTTTTTGGTAGTGGTCTCGGCGTCACAAACCTATGTGAGAGAGGGCCGTTTAATTGGTTCATATCAAGCTGTCTAGGCTTGGCAATGATAAGGATTTAGCTACAGGATGTGTGTGAGAGAGTGTGAGTGAGACCGAGAGAGAGGGATATTAAGGAATAATTATTTCAGTAAATTACTTTCTTAAGCTAATGTTATTATTATTCTTCTCTTTTACCCACAGTATATCTAAAGTTTGTCAACAAATAAATTATATACACAAAATATCATTATATGACTCATACTATACTACTATATAGCACTACTAATATTTTTATATTACTATTAAAGTATACTATTATGCTCTAGTACCTACTCTATGCCTTATAGTAATATGCTATTGTATATTGTAATACTTTACAATACTACCATACTACTATACTTAACTAAATACTACCAATATACTACACTATCTACTACTACTACTACAACTACACTATACTACAATATCTATATATTACTACTACTATTCCTATACTATACTATACTATACTATCCACATACTACTACTATTATACAAACTATCAGTATACCACTACTATCTACTACGACTATATCATATTATTGATTAATAAATAAATAGTAATAGATTACTATCTACTACTATTTACTACTACTCTTATTAAAATATACTACTACTATCCCATCTAAATACTACTACTATCTACTACTTCTCCTATACTCTATTATGTATTACTATTACTAACTACTACTACTACTATTTGCTACTACTATTCTATATATATACTACTACTTCCACTATACTATACTAATATTACTACTGTTAATAGTAGTCGACTATACTTCTACTCTCCCCTACTATTTACTGCTACAATATACTAAAAACTACTCAATACTAATATCTCAATTTGCTCAATTCGAGATTTCCGTTATGATTTCCGCATTTTCACATCATATCCACGTCATTTTATCTAAAGCTAATGTATTTCTACTTCAGAGTTCATTACTAGCATTGCATTCAGTTAGTTTTCGATCCACCCTCGCCAAGTACCCAGCATTGTCATTATAGGGTTGCGGAATTGATGACACTCATAAACTATAGCTGGCGCATAGTAATAATTAAACCTAATGCAGCCGTGCGGCATATATTATAAATTCTGCTCGCACTTAAGCAAGCCATTCCTATGTGAATTCATAGATTGTGTATATGTGTGTGTACTCTAATGCATATATATGTGTGCAAAGCACTCTTCGCTGTAATCGATTTGCATAAACGATTGTCAAGCTAAAGCTTCCCAGAGCAATTACGTACACATAAATAACTATCCATATTTGCAAATCTATATATTTGAATGTGTGTGCATGTATGGGCATATACATACATATATGTAAAAATGCTAATTGATGGGAATGCAAAACATATAAATTGAAATAGCTGAAATAGAATAAAGGCAGCGCTGGCCCATAAATATGAGGCCTTAATTGCAGTCAGGTTCATTAGAATAATTCTGTTTTGAAACAGTTACAGAGCCAACTCGGTAGCTGGGAGAAGGGCATAAAGACTTTGATTAAGCAATGAAGCTAGTATGTAGTAAAAAAAAATAAATACCAAATGTCGTATAGCTATAAGATTCTAAGATAAATAGATACATTTTATATAGATATTAAATAATTAACTCAGATCTAAAAAGTGTGAAGGTCAGGTTTAAATTCCTCATTACTCAAAAATAAATAAATAAGTAAATAAATAAATAAATAAAATTAAAAAAATTTATTTTCATTTTGTCAATTTAATATTAGTAAACATAAAAATAAAATAAAAAAATATTTTTTTTTTTTTTCGATTTTCATTAACATACATATTCTGCGCAAAGAACTTCTACATAAAATGTCCTTGAACTTGGCCGCTTTAAATCGTATGTATTCTTCATTAACCAATTTTTATTTATTGTTTGCTACATAAATTACGAAATAATTGGTCATCACTCAATGCCGTCATGTAAAGCTTACTCGGTGTTTGAGATAGACATGCAATGCGGCAAATATTTGCTGGCTGCTAGCAAACCAGTTGAACAGCACCAAAACACATCAAATGCAAATACACAAACTGGGTGGAAAATAAATTAAACAATAAAAATACAATTCAAAATCAACAGCAGTCTGTGTGTATTTACTTATGTAATTATTTTGTGGGCTTATGCACAAAATGCAAAAAGCCATTCGAGTGGCTGTGGCTAATGGCCAAGGTTCTGGGCACGTTTCATGTGAGACAAGATGACGCCAAGATAGCCAAGCATTGCCTTTGACCATACAGTAGTAGACCACAAAGAAACAAACAAACACACACACACACTCATACACACACACACGCAGACAGGTATACTGGTAATTCAATATCAAGCAAATACAAAAGGCAAAACGAATCAAACAAAAGCAAACGGCGGAAGCTAAAAATCAAAAAGGCAAAAAGCAAAGTCAAATTTATACACACGTGGAGTGGAGATGGCAATAAATCAACAAGAAATGCAAACAAAGGCAAGCAAAAGCAACAGCAAACAAAGCGAATTGATTGCTAGTTGCTTTGCTATCCAAATGCACCAGCTCGACAATCGACTGCAATAGAATGCAGCCTGCTGGGCCGGCGCATGCGATGGCAGCTTAGGTTTATCCTTGCCGCGTGACACTGAACTGTCGCGCCATGGATACCGTTGGGACTGGGGCTCGTCCAGGCCGGAGCTCAACTTTCGCTTTCCACAACGAAGCGACGCGCTCTGACATTGAACTTCATTAACCCGGCCTGAATGCGGCACAAGTAGCGCGAGATGGTTAAGCGAACAGGTTTTTACCTTAAACGAAAGACTTGAGCAACGAACTTGCCGGCTTAGCCACTGGCGCCATCTGCAGTTAAAGACATGGCGACACGTGGGGCGCCCTCTACCGGCCAGTTCACGTACTACCTGAATCGAGCGCACTCTGCAGCTAACAAGATCATTGAACTGTAAGACACAAAAGACTTAAGCAACGAACTTGCTCATCTATGGCGCCCCCTAGCGTTAGCTAGCGGCAGAAGCTAAGCTCAGCTCAAGACATTGCTTTTGTAGAGCTCTGCTGCCAGATGGCAAAAGCTTTAAGTACAATAAAAGCTACTCAGCCAATATTAAAGATCTGGCAACTCTTTTCAATTCAAATGCATTTTTTTCGATGAGAGTTAAGCAATTATTTATTCGTTTCGGTTATCCAATTAGTTTTTCAGTGCGAGTATTCTTAATCGTTCCACCAGCCAGCTCCACCGCGAGAGCCGCCACCGACGGAGGAGCTAGCGCCATGGTTCACAGAATAGTCGAAAGAGGCTGGATTGCCCCAGGCATTGCCACCGCCACCTCCAGCACCACCTTGCCAGCCACCAGCACCAGCACCACCGCCATAGCCGCCGCCGCGTCCGCCACCAGCACCTGCTCCCTGCCAGCCACCAGCACCTGCACCACCGCCATAGCCGCCGCCGCCGCCGCCGCGTCCGCCACCAGCACCTGCTCCTTGCCAGCCGCCGGCTCCTGCGCCGCCAGCACCATAGCCGCCGCGTCCACCGCCAGCACCGGCTCCCTGCCAGCCGCCAGCACCAGCACCAGCACTAGCACCGGCACCCTGCCAGCCACCACCACCGCCGCCGCCGCCGCCATAGGCTCCGGCGCCACCATGGCCTCCAGCTCCACCTCCAGCACCACCAATGTGCACCTTTGTGTTGCCGTGAGACTGCGACACATGCGAAATGAGTCCGGCGCCATTCCTGAAGCCACCACCGCCGCCGCCGCCGCCACCGTGTCCTCCGCCTGGCAGATAGCCACCGCCACCTGCACCTCCGCGTTGTCCGGCATTAGCCAGAGCCAAGGTGGCTAGCAAGCAGACAAAGACCTGAAAATGGAAACGTTAGTCGGCCAGCCCCAGGCAGAGTCCTTTCAAGAAATCCTTTTACCTTCATGTTGATAATAGAATGCTTTGATTTTGCAGTTGGTTTGTTGTTGTTTCAGTAGCTCTCGGTGCGCTGCTCCAAAAGCTTGTGATGCTTCTTGGCTGGCAGGCAGCACAATTTATAGCTGAAAATTCCGTTCAATATTGCTAATGATCTTCGACTTCTAATGGAAAACACATAGGGGAAAAAATAAACAAAGAAACAACGAAATACTCAAATTAATTGAAAGAAGAAAACAAAAATATCAAAACTTAAAACATAACTAAAAACTAAACCAAGAAAAAAAAAAAATTAACTAAAAATAAAAATCAAATAGAAGAAGAAAAACAATAAGAAATTTAGTTTATAGTGCCGCACATCAAATACGCTGCTAAAATATCACAGTTGATAAAATTTAAATACATAAGTATGTGTAGTGAAAATATAACTTTGTGAATGAGTTCTAATATTCTTCTGAAAATTTGCATATGTGAGCCATGTTTTTATTAAGTAAGAAAATATATTTATATTAATTGCTGTACAAACTAATCAAATATTTTTTCTTATATTTTTTATTTTTATTCCTTTACCTGCAAAGGAAGATCTCTATTCCATTTATTCCAAATTCCCATATGATTAAAATTCGTTTAGACTTCGACTCCGATTTCGACTTGGACGTCGACTTCGACTTTGACTTCGTCTTCGATTTGGACTTCGATTTCGACTTCGATTTCGACTTCGACTTCGATTTCGATTTTGACTTCGATTTCGATTTTGACTTCGATTTCGACTTCGATTTCGATTTCGACCTCGATTTCGACTTTGACTTCGATTTCGACTTCGACTTCGATTTCGACTTCCACTTCGACTTCGATTTTGACTTCGACTTCGACTTTGATTTCGACTTTGATTTTGACTTCGACTTCGATTTCGATTTTGACTTCGATTTCGACTTCGTACACCAGTCTCTGTCTCTGCCTCTCTCCCCGTCTTCGTCTCCTTCTCCGCAATCGTTTCCCTCTCTCTCCTTCTTTTTAGCTTTGCCCTTCCTTCTTCTCCTTGGCCTCCCTCTTTCTTCACCAGCTCACCCTTCCTCAGCAGCTTATCTCACACCATAGCTGATGTACTCCCTGCAGAAGGGCATCGATTCCGCTTTGGTTTTGCTTTGTGCTGTAATGCTTATCGCTCGATTCTAGCCGAGCGCCTGCCAGTGCCGCGTGGCTTGGCAGCGCCGTGTGTCTGTCTGTGTGTGTGTGTGTGGTGCCTTTAATTAAAAGTTCGAAGACAAATTAAGTGAAGAGAGACACAGAAAAATAAAAATTAATTGTTGGCCAAAAGACGGCAATTAGACGGCAATTTGCCTGCGGCTCGCTTTGCGTAATCTAGCGCGCTGCTTGGCTTAAAAGCCACGCCGACTGGACGCCGAGCCTGCAGTTGAAAGTTATGGCTGCTGAATTGCGCATTTCGCATTGCGCATGCGCCGCGTGGGCCGAGGATAAACAGCAGAGCTGCCAACAGTGCGAGTTTTTCCCTTTCCATTCCTTCTTCAGATTGGGTTTTTGTTTTTGTTGATCTTTTTTTTATGTTACATTTTTTTTTGAAAGTGAGCTCAGACACATGTAATTGAAGAGCTTGGATGATGCAACAATATGCTAAAAACTTCCCGAAATATTCCAAACAACTGCAAATGTTGGCAAATACTGTTGCTCTTGTTATATAAGTTGAAGCCGTGACAGCTTTCAAGTAGCTCCGGGTTTTTGGATAAGCGCGGTAACAAACTCTATAACCAGCTGCCTCAACCTCTAATCATACTGGTCTATAATAATCCGTTTACATTTTGACTATATATTTGTAAACATTTGTGATCAAATTTATTGTAAAAGTCGATATAAAATATTTTTCATTTATAAACGGTATTGATACTCAATCTTAATGCAATAAATATTTACTTAATACCAATATAATCTAAAAATATGTATATTAAAATACTTAAAGCTGGGTTTTCTTATATTAGGCAATCTGCATTGAAATGCTGTAGCGAATCAAAAGTTGGCTTCGACTGGAATATCAAAACTTTATTGCTTCATAGAGTTGTCGGAGCTTATAATAAAAGCGTATTATACTATTAAATAAATCAGGAATTGATGAAAGCAAAGCTCTTAGTTGAATCAGTAAAAGGATTTGATGCGGAGAGGCAGATGTGTGAGAGGTAACAGAAGTAGAGACAGAGATTAGAGATAGAGATTTGCAGAGACATATGCAGAAATAGAGACAGAGATAGAGAGGGTTGAAGGGTTGAAGCAAAATAAGACCAATAGAGCACAGACCAATAGAAAGGAATAGGTAGAGGCAAGGGCGGACTAAGAGGAAGATTCAGAGCCAGAAGTATACACAGAGGAAGAGGCAAAGCTAGATACCGAAATAGAGACAGAGACAGAAGCAAAACAGCGGCAGAAGCTTAGGATAATGTAGGACTAGAAGTATACATAGGCAACAGCAGGAGCAGGGTTAGACAAAAAGCAAAAAGTAGAGTCAGATGCATAGATAGATGCCAAATCAATGGCAGAGTCAGCCACAGGGGCAGAAACAGAGGCAGAGACTGAGGTAGATGAATAGAAATAAAAGGAAACAACAGGAAATAAAAGGACAAACAGTAGATGAGATAGAGAGGGAGGCGAAGGCTGAGGCAGAAAGAGAAGTATAAGAAGCAAAAACAGAGGAAGAGGTGGAGTAGACAAAGAGACTAAGGCCCACTCTGATTCATATGTAGTAACAGAGACAGAAACTGAGCCTGAGCTATAAGCCTTACCCGATAGCAAAGCAGATGATAATTTATGGCCGCCCAGAAAGAGATAGGCCTGATAAGAGATAAGCCCAGAGATTTTTCTAGAAAATTTACAGTTGTCATTCGGAGGGCCTGAAAGTGAGCATGCTAAACAAAGTAATTTTCATTTGCTCTGCAGCCATGAGAAAAGACAAACTATTTAGTTATTGGTTGACTTGTGAGTGCTATGGGAATCAAATGGATCAAACCCGAAGCACACCCGTTACATATCGTTATCGATAAGGCAAACCCGTTACATATCGTTATCGTTAAGGCAAACCCGTTACATATCGTTATCGATATGGCATTTCAGATCAGTGGCCTCTGCAGCGGAACCACTTAAGCAAAGTTGACTAATTATCATTGTAGATGCACTCGATTTGAGTCTGAGCAGCCAAACATTCGGCCAACAGTAGCCGCCGTGTCAGATCTGCTCTGAGCATTTGCTCATAAAGCTCATATTTCATGGGTTTATAGGGTGCTTCGCATGCACAGCAGTTCGCTACTTTCTTCAGCTCCCATGAAAGTCGTGACGGAGAGTCTACACGCACACGCACACACGCTTTCTTTCTCTCTACTTGTGTCTGCTTTGCGCTCTTTGCTGCTTTTACTCTCACTGCAGTTGGCAGTTGATGGCTGGACAAGTGGGCAGCCAGCATTGGGTGGCGAGAGCTCTCTCCCCATTTCTCTCACTCTCGCTCGCTCTCTGGCTTGGCACGCTCTCGCTCGCTTGCCGGCGCCGCGTTACATGCGGTGGGCGCTGCTGTTGCTGTTGCTGTTGCTGTCGCTGTCGCTGGCTGCCTTAAGCCGGGCTTCATTGGCGCTGCTGCAGATTTGGCCAAATCATTCCGTTGGGAAGTGGGAACTGGGAAACGTGTCTGACGGATTGCAACCGCCGCCGGTTCACAGGCAGCAACTCCATATCTTCGTGTTATCGTGCCTCGAGCTGTTGCAAGCGCGCGCATTGGTTGCAAGCAGTTTGTGCGCTTAACGTGTAGCCGTTACGTTTGTTCAACTGCTGCCAAAACAGTAAAAAAAAAAAAAGGATTCCTAACCTGCCTGCCTTTGCCTTAACCTGCTGAACCTGAGCCAGAGGCAGAGCCTGCATCTGCTATTCGTGCGCGTCTCTTGTATTTATTTTGTTTTGTGTCTGAGTGTTTGTGTTGGTGTTTTTTTTCGTGTTTCGTTTCTTTTTTTTTCTTTTATGCAACATTCATTTACAACACTGTGCGCAATGCGATTAATTGTGGCTGGCAGAGTATGTGCAAAAGCCGCTGGAAAATGTTTTGTGTGAGCTGAAGTCGACAAGTATTCAAAATAGTTGCTTATCCATGTTTAATAAACAAACAACAACAAACAACAAACAACAACAACAACAACAACGGAATAAAAGCAACCAGTTCAACAATCATTTAATTATTTTTGCAAACAATTGACGCAGCACGATTCAAATAAAAAAGGTTAGTTTTTTGCTGTTTTTCTTTTTTGTGTTCAACATTTGAGTTCAAAATACCTTAACATCAATTTGGAAATAATCAGGAAGACATAAGTGCGAAAATAGATTTTTTTTTCTTAATTAAATTTTAATAAGCAACAAAATTCATTAAAATAAAGTAAAAATAGATTTTGTCGTCTACCACGCCCTCCCCCCCTCTATAAAACCCTGTTCATGATCATATGGAATGCTTGTAGCTGTGCGTGTGTGTGTGATGCTTGAAACTTCGTCTGAAGTGTGTGCAATTTTCTATGAAAGTCCATGGCCAGCGATAACGTCTAGCTGCTGTTCATGGTCTATTAATTGTCGGTCTGCCGATTTTCTTTTTAATAATCATAATTTATATATGTGTGTGGCCGCAGTTTTTGGGCTTCTGGCCAAGCCGAGAGAGTGAATCAGGCAGGCAAAGCAAAGCGCAACACACATTGCCCTGCCTGGAGCTGCTGCAGCGGGACAATCAATCACCTGCGGCTGGACAATTCCTGCATCGAAATGGAAATTGAAATGAATGCGAGAGATTTTCGCGTGTCCGCTAATGCGATTTGTTTCACACCTGCAGCTCGTATGCAGTGCCAATGTTGTGTGCTTGCTTCGTGTTTATTTCTACAGCAATTTGCGTGCAGAACAAAAGACTTAGGCAACGAACTTGAAATAACATGCGGCTGGAACGCTGCGCTTGCGGTTTTTCTTCTGTTTTTATTTACTCATATTTGTTGTTGTTGTTGTTGTTGCTGTCGCTGTTATTCTGTTTTGTTTTGGGCAACCGTATTGCGTGGCTTTCTCCACTTGACAAGCCCAGTGCCGATTCTAAGTGCCACTGCTAATAAGCCAACAACAACAACAACAACAACAACAACAGCAACAGCAACAATGTGTGTGGGTCGCCTTCTTG